AGCAGCTGGAGAGGCGCCAGCAGCAGCAGCAACAGCAGCAGCAGCAGCAACAGCAGCAAAAGATCTGCCGCCACAAGATTCTGTTATTCAAGCTTTAGCAGAAGCACAAGCAGAGCTGCAGTCGCTGCAGACAGATAAGGCGCATGCAGCTGCGTCCCCAGCAGCAGCAGCAGCAGCAACAGCAGCAGGAACAGAAAGAACAGCTGCAACAGCAGAAACAGCCGCACCGGCAACAGCGGCTGCAACATCAGCAGCAGAAAAGACGGAAGCAGCAGCTGCTGCTGCTGCTTTAGATGAAGCAGCAAATGCCCAAAGTGAGCAGCAGCAAGATGAAAGGGCACAGCAGCAGCAACAACAACCGCAGCAACAGCAGCAGCAGCAACAGCAAAAACAGCAGCAGCAGCAAAAGCCGCAGCAACAGCAACAACAACAGCAGCAGCAGCAACAGCCGCAGCAGCAGCAACAGCCGCAGCAGCAACAACAGCCGCAGCAGCAACAAGAACAGCAGCAAGAACAGCAGCAAGAACAGCAGCAAGAACAGCAGCAAGAACAGCAGCAAGAACAGCAGCAAGAACAGCCGCAGCAACAGCCGCAGCAAAAACAGCAGCAACAACAGCAGCAACAACAACAACAACAGCAACAGCAGCAGCAGCAGCAACAACAACCACAACAGCAGCAGCAACAACAGCAGCAGCAGCAACAACAGCAGCAGCGGCAGCAGGAGCAACAGCAAGAGAAACAACAGCAGCAAAAACAGCAGCAGCAGCAGCAACAACAGCAGCAGCAGCAACAACAACAACTGCAGCAACAACAGCAGCAACAACAACAGCAGCAGCAACAACAGCAACAACAACAACAACAGCAGCAGCAACAGCAGCAACAGCAACAACAACAAAACCAGCAGCAGCAACGGCAACAACAAAACCAGCAGCAGCCGCGGCAACAGCAGCCGCAACAGCAGCAACAACGACAGCCACAACAGCAACAACAACAACTGCAACAGCAGCAACAACAGCAGCAGCAACAGCAACAGCAGCTGCAACAGCAACAACAACGACAGCCGCAACAGCAACAACAGCAACCGCAACAGCAGCAACAACAGCAGCAGCAGCCGCAACAGCAACAACAGCAACCGCAACAGCAGCAACAACAGCAGCAGCAGCCGCAACAGCAACCGCAGCAGCAACAACAGCAACCACAGCAGCAACGAGAAGATCAGCGGCTCCAACAGCAGCAGCGGCAACAACAGCAGCAACGGCAACAAGAGCAGCGGCCCCAGGAGCAGATGCAGCAGCAGCTGCTGCAGCAGCAACAGCAGCAACAGCGACAGCTTCAGCAACTGCAGAAACAACTGCAGCCCCAGCAGCAGCGAGAACAGCAGCCCCAGCAACAACAGCTACAGCAGCAGCAGAAGCAACAACAGCAGCAAACGCAGCAGCAGCAATAAGAGAGCAATGGCAGCAGCAGCAGCAGCAGCGGAAGGCACATCGGAGAGCGAATCTCAAAGGCTGCAGCAAAGCGCTAATTCGCAGCAGCAGCAGCAGCCGCAGCCACGTCAGTTCTTAGCAGCGCAGGCCAGCAGCAGCAGCAGCAGAAACGCAAGCAGCAGCGACAGCAGAAAAGCAGGCAGCAGCAACGGCAGCAGCAGCAACTGCTGCAGCAGCCCTAGGCCTTGTGAGCTGCAGCACTTTCTAGTGTCTTTCTCTTTCATTAAAAGTGTCTCCTCCCTTCAGTCTCTCCCCGTCTCGTTGCTGCAGCTAGCTACAGCTAGCTATAGCTAGCTGCAGCTAGCTACAGCTAGCCATAGGTTGAAACAGGCCCCCGCAGCTATCTACAGCTAGCTGCAGCTAGCTACAGCTAGCTGGGGACCGCCACAGCTGGCTACAGCTAGCTACAGGTAGCTGCAGCTAGCTACAGATAGCCGCAGCTAGCTGGAGATAGCTGCAGCTAGCCACAAATAGCTGCAGCTAGCTGGAGACAGCTGCAGCTAGCTACAGCTAGCTACAGCTAGCTACAGCTAGCTACAGCTAGCTACAGCTAGCTACGGGTAGGACTTGCGTGTTCCGATCGACGCACAAACGGGCAGTTTTGCCCAGCTAGCCAAACACCAGAAGGCGTTTAACACCACCAGCTAGCTAGCTAGCTAGCTAGCTGGCTAGCTAGCTAGCCGCTTGGCTAGCTAGCTAGCTAGCTAGCTAGCCAGCCCGCGACACTAGGGACTGCAGACAGAGCTGCTTCACCCGGTCCTCTGAAAGGCACTTACAGGGGCACTTTCTGTTACTTGTTTCTTGAGCTAGCTAGCTAGCCACTTGGCTAGCTAGCCACTTGGCTAGCTAGCCATTTGGTTTGCTAGCTGCTTAGCTAGCTAGCTACTTGGCTAGCTAGCTGCCTAGCTAGCTAGCCACTTGGCTAGCTAGCTGCCTAGCTAGCTAGCCACTTGGCTAGCTAGCTGCTGCTCTAGCTGGAAGATTGGCTGGGCAGCCGATTGTCTAGTTTGCCGCCAGCTAGCTAGCCAACTGGCTGGCCAACTAGCTAGCTAGCTGGCTAGCTAGCTAGCTGGCTAGCTAGCTAGCTAGCTGGCCGCATCCCCAGTTCCGCAGCTGGAATTGTCCCCAGCTAGCCAGCTCCCCGCCAGCTGTCTCCGCCGGCCCACCAGCTAGCTAGCTAGCCAGCCAGCCAGCTAGCTGGCTAGCTAGCTAGCTAGCTAGCTAGCCATCTCACGAGACCACCACCTCGCCAGCTAGCTAGCTGGCCAGCCCCCCACCCGCCCGCCAGCCCGCCAGCTAGCTAGCTAGCTAGCTGGGCTTAGGCGAGCCAGAGGCAGCCGCCATCGAGGGGTTTGAACTTTTTCTCTTTTTCTTTTTCTTTTTTTTGAATTGAAGTCCTCAAAAAGTACCTTATTTGGGCCCTCGTCTGCAGCGCGCAAAACCTCCCTTCTAGGGTATAAGCAGCAAACACCAAAACCCTCCTTCCCAGCAGCAGGGGGGCC